GCTAAAGTATCATTTAAGGGTACCTATTGTGCCCCTTTTTACAAGATCTAAAATAAGTCTCTGATGTCCCTAGAGTGTGTTTGTGAAGTTTCAGATCAAAATAACACACACATATTGTTTTATAACTCACTGAAACGGCCTCTTTTAGGCTTTTATGCTAATTGTGCTGCTTTGATGACTGTTTTGAGACAGAATTTGTCCAATAATAAACTTCAAAACACATGTGGTTGTTGCTATGTGAGGAACTCGGCCAATCAAGTAATATCGGTGTCGTCATCAGAGCTCATGCAGTCACTCCTTTAGATGCTACATCTCGGAGCGCTGTCGCGGTACTTTGATGCCACATGCGACAGTCACGTGGCGTTGGCGCAGCGTCAATCTACCAGCACGCACTGCTTTGAAACAGATTTCGATCGATCTGCGCAGCGCTGTATGAAGTCGAACGCACCTTGTAGTTAGAAATCTTGTCCGGATTGATGCTGCGCCGACGCCATGTGACTGTCACTTGTGGCATCAAAGTACCGTGACAGCGCTCCGAGATCAGACGGCAGACTCAAGCCTGATTTATACTTCTGCGTCAAACGCCGGCATATGCTACGGCGCTGACGCATAGCCCTTCGCCGTGGCCGTGGCTGTCACTAATGTGCACCTCTCAAAAATTGTAACTACACGTCGCAACAGTGCGTAGCGCAAGCTCTGTGATTGGTCGGCTTGGTAGCGCTGACGAGTCTGGGCGGGATTGAGAGCCGCGCGAATGGCACGAGCGATTGTTTACAAGTGTGGAGTCCCGTGAAGGAGCTCCGGATGGAAAGTTTTGTTTTGTGTTTACCTCATAGTGAAAGTTGCTGCACGTCCGCCGGTTCCTGCCTCAAAATGAGCGAGTTTGAGCCACTTGTACATCCCGGAAGTGTTCAGGAAAAGCAATAAAGCAGCGAAGAAACTCGACACAGAGGAACATTTACACCTCACTGCCAACTAGCGTTTCGGAAGTGTTAATGCAGACCAACAGAGACAGCACACAGAAGTATAAATGCACAGCTGAGCGCGTTGCCTGTGCCGTGGGTTACGCCGGTCGTTTGACGCAGAAGTATAAATCAGGCTTCAGACCGTGCAGCTTCTGAAGAGCGACTGCAGGAGCTTTGATGACGACACCGATATTACACGATTGGCCGAGTTCACCACATGACAACAAACACGTGTATTTCGGGTTTATAGTTGGACAAATTCCGATTCAAAAGTTTCAAAACAAACAATTCACTTTTAACACCCTCTCTATCCTGTACACATCTTGCTTATTAAAAGACTACAAATAATTTACTGCAGTATCATCTTTTGTTAAATAATCTGGTTATAAAGGTTAGCTTGTTTGCACAGGTTTATTTTCAACCTTTTTTATACAGACTATTTACTGCATTCATCTACATGAACGATTTAAATGATATATTATAGTGTATATTTTAGTGAATAGCCTAAATATGAACTCAAATAAGTCTTACAGACTTGAAATAAAATAATCATCATAATTGATCCTGCCACCTTAAAGCTCTCTAAACAAATTAAAGTAAAGAACTATTTTATTAAATAATTATAAAATGGCTTTATTATTATAATATAAATATATATTTTATTTCCTGTCTAGCAGTTTAAAGGCTACTTGCTCTTTCTGGGAAACTTCTACATCGCTCACTTATTTTACCTTTTGTTCTTTTCAACACAATCTTTTTGGATTAAAATGCTTTTTTAAAAATGCTTTCATTATCCAAAATAATCTCATTTATTAAGACCTAATCAAAACACCTTGTTTTGCTTTTTACATTGGACATTTTTATATATATATAAATGTACACATATGTAAACCCTTTTTTAGCATATTCAAACAAGAAGTATTAGCCTAAAGGTTGATGTTTAACTCCTAGAATTTATGCTTATTGCTTTGTATTTAATAGACCTGTTTGTTTTTATGTTTATATTAACCTCTCATTTCCTCTTATTTCTCTCATGCATTTGTTATATGTTATTCATAATTCTCTCTTATTGTTTAAAAAGGAACTACAGTTTGAAGAGCCTGTATTCTGTTTTATTTGTAAATGTTTTGTTGTTATAAATAAAAATAACAAAAAAAAAAAATGATGATGACGCCATGTGATCGGTCATCATGACTGCAGCAACTTTGAGTCCCGAATTGTCCAGCTGTCCGTCTTGACGGGTCCGTTTTCAACTCCGCCCCGCCTGCACTCGGCTAATCTTGTTGATCACCGGCTGCAGCTGAGCTTCATGTCGAACGCACCGATCACATGGCGTCATCATATTTTTTTGTTATTTTTATATATTCAATATATTTTTATATATTGAATTTGTTCAATTATAAACCCGAAATACACGTGTTTGTTGTCATGTGGTGAACTCGGCCAATCGTGTAATATCGGTGTCGTCATCAAAGCTCCTGCAGTCGCTCTTCAGAAGCTGCACGGTCTGAGTTTGCCGACTGATCTCGGAGCGCTGTCGCGGTACTTTGATGCCACATGTGACGGTCACGTGGCGTCGGCGCAGCATCAATCCGGACAAGATTTCTAACCAGAATGCACCGCTTTAAGACAGATTTCGATCGATCTGCGCAGCGCTGCATGAAGTCGAACGCACCTAATGTGCATGACTAAAAATGCTTGATCGTTTTTGGAAAGTCTTCCTTTTCACAGTCCACAACACCAAAATGCTTTTTGTTTTGCTCGTTTGGGCAGCTTTTTTTTTTTTTTAAATGTTCTTGTTTCCTGTAAGTTGTATGCCATTGTGAATGCTAGGCCAAAATGCTTTTAAAAAGTAAGTGCTTTATATGTAAACCTATTAGTGTGGACATAGCCTGCATGTGAGGGCTGGAGGAGTTTGGTTTGTGTTTTCAACATGTCGAGAAGACGCTGTTTTCTGTTCTGCAAAATGCAAACCCACTTTGCATTCATTTATAAAAATGAGAAGTCACACTGTGATACTGTTAAACCGATGCCATCATTACAGTTCACCCTGTTTATAAATGCAGAGGAAGAGCAGAAAATCCCAACTCAGAGCAGCTTCCAACACAGTGGGCAGTCGACCAATCAGAACACACCATCTGACCAGTCAGAACCAGAGCCATAGCAGAATGAACTGCCAACGTATCCAGCATATGTTTTACACAGCGAATGCCCTTCCAGCTGCAACCCAGTACTGGGAAACACCCACACACTCACATACACTACGGCCAATTTAGTTTGCCAAATTCACCTATAGCGCATGTCTTTGGACTGTGGGGGAAACCAGAGCACCCTGAGGAAACCCATGCGAACACAGGGAGAACATGCAAACTCAGCACAGAAATGCCAACTGACCCAGCCGGGGCGCAAACCAGCTACTTTCTTGCTGTGAGGCAATAGTACTAACTGTAACCAGGGGAAGTGACACTGACAACAGAGGTGCAGATCCACATGCAGGTTTATTAGTAAGGTCAGGCCAGCAATGGTCAACACAGGGGCGAACAGATGTATGAGGGCAATCCAGAGACGTAGTCAAAATAACAGGCAGATGGTCAGTAGGCAGGCAGCAGACAGGAATACACACATAAACAAGGCGAGGACCAAAACACAAGGGAAACGTGTTGGAGTGTCACTAAAACAGTAGACAAGACTTAGACATGAGTGTCTCAAAGTGAGCTGTATATATGTGTGTGTAATCAGTACTTGAGCAACATCAGCTGTGTCAGTCAGGACAATCAGTCAGGATCAGGAACCGGTTGTGTGTGTATTGCTTAACTGGGATCTGTAGTCCATAACATGGCGGATTTGTAGTTTGTGTAATGCGCATATTGAGAATCAGCCTGTGTGTGTGTGTGTGTGTGTGTGTGTACTGTTTTTATGGTCCATCTGATTAGTACATCATAAGCTTCCAGCTGTGTGTGTAATCAGGGGAAATCAGGAACTGGTGTGTGAGGTGCATGATGGGAGTTGTAGTTCATTAGGTGAAGTTTATTTATAAACTAATTTCAAGAGGATCACGTGCTTATGATTGCTTATTATCCAATTTATGATTCACCAATCAGACGACTCCTAAGCCACTATAAATACCCTAAGTTGCATATGACAGCCATCTTCGTTTTGAAGAATCCCATCTCTCCACCCCTACTCCTCCTCCTTTCCTAGATGGGTGGTATGGTGGCTCAGCGGTTGCCTAACAGCAAGAACGTCACTGGTTTTAGTCCTTACCAAGCCAGCCGACGTTTTCTGTGAGTATACCAGTTCTCTCCGTGCTCACTTGGGTTTTCCCCGGGGTTCCCCGTTTTCCTCCCACCATCCAAAAACATGCAACTTAAGATAACTGACTAATCCAAATCGGCCCCATAGACTTGCTCCTAGTAAGTAGTTATCTCTTAAGAGCAATCACTGTCTGTTCATTAGCTACTACAGCAGGGGAGTTCTCAGATCTGCCTGAGCTCAAACTCCCCTCTCGCCTTGCAAACGGTAGGGAGCCCCGGGCTCGAGGATCTTATGAGCTTAGGGCTCTCTCCCGGGACAGCATGCCAAACAAGCTTTATAATCAATCATCAGCTCAGTGTAAACTCTTGAAATTGGCAGATGTGTAGTTCTCCAGTGATCTGCACAGGCTAGATCGCTGGTGATCATGACAGAACTTTTTAAATAGCAAATAAAAACTCTGCGGCATTGACTTTACACCAGCTTTTAGTTGAAATACCAATGCATCAACAATGCCCTTTAACACATCTCCATTTCAGACCAGCACACCCATGAGCGCACAAAGTGGCACAAATGCATTTTGTATGTAAACAATGTGACACAAAGCGTGAAAATGATTCCTGCGCCGGTCTGAAAGTACCAAAGAAACAATGCTATAATGCGCCAGGTTTATGACATCTGTGTTTATGTGTAACAATGTGCACCTAACACTCAGTATGTGTGTGTGTGTGTGTGAGAGTAGGGCAGATTATCAGAGTGGAGAAGTGGAGCAAGACATTATTAGCAGCAAGAAGGGAAGAGAAGACTTGCAGTTCGTGTGGTGAATTAAGAAAGAGGAAACAAGCACACAGATGTCATTGTGAGGTTCTGAGAGAGTCACAGTGCAGTTAAGACACTAACGTGAAGGCTTAATAAGGAAGCCGACGAGTCTGGTGGACGACATGACATGACATGACAGCAGGATTTGACTAACCACACACTGAATAAGTGCAGAAAATCATGGATTCTCAGGTCATGGGGACTGTCAGTGATCTCTGCGTGTCCAGTTTTCAAGCTTTCTTGTGTCCAACGATACCAAGGAGTCCTCCAGGTAGGAGACGTCTTTTATAGCATCGCAATCAAACAGTATATGACCCCGGAAAGCTAAACAAGTCGTAGTTGTCCTATTTTGAGATGAGATTAAGATTGAGAAAACCTTTTTTGAGAAGCTGAGATTGGGAGAATCTGAAATGTCAATGAAGAAGCTTTTCATGATGTAGAGTTTGTTATTACACTCGCACACACACACAAATCCCTTTGGCTTGTACTGAACGGCTTGACCTAAGATCAGAATGTCAGTCGGAGGTACATTTCAATACCACATGAAAAACATACTATAGTAATTTATAGTAAATTCTGTAGTATTTTGGACCCTGCTATAGAAAAAGTACTTGAATTAATCTGTTGTGCTAATCCTATAGTTGCTATGTCACATAGTGATATAAACAAATGTCCCAATAGTGTAGTTTTCTATAACTGTAGGGTATATATTATACTACTATACACCAACGTTAACTGTAGTAAAAACTGAAGTATACTACAGCATAAATTACAGTTTATAAATTAATCATTAAATAATTAATTAAGGCAGCACGGTGGCTCAGGGGTTAGCACTCTCACCTCATAGCAAGAAGGTCACTGGTTCGAGTCCCGGCTAAGTAAGTTGCCATTTCTGCCTGGAGTTTCCTTGTTCTCCCCATGTTCAGGTGGATTTCCTCCGGGTGCTCCGGTTTCCCCCACAATCCAAAGACATGCGGTACAGGTGAATTAATATGAACTAACCAGTCAAACGTTCGCTTTAAGATTTAAAGGGCTAGCATTGCACCAGACCCCCTTAAGTGGTTTCGTTTGAAAGTGTAGAATCTATATTTTATGCACATATGCATCACTTTGGTTTTTATTCTAATGTACAAAAGTTATTTACACTTAAATACACAGTATTTTGGATACCAGAGCTGGGTATTTTACATTGGTTCATTTTCATATTTTTAATATGACACATGTACAAGTTATAGCTCAAATGAAAGCTCTTGCCGGTGCTTATATGGTTCTAGCATTCTTTTTACTGAATTATATTCACATACCAAACAGTTGCCGAATGAATTGTGGTGTTTCCATGGCACAGAAGTGAAAACAATACATTTATGATCTATAAGCAGCCCCAGATAGCACAGACAGCTGTCATCTCTTACCTTATGCTGTGCGCTTCAGAGCCATTCTCCTCTGTTTTTGAGGTGATGTGCATAAGTAATCGTTTTATATGTCTGATGTGGTCCAAACACAGTGAATTATGTTTGATCAAACAAAAGAATAGTGAAATATGAAAACAATGATCGGTCCCTGTGGCTTGTACAGCACCTCTCATCAGTAGGAAGGGAATAACTTTTGCATATATTATAGTAGAGACATTTTTATTTTTTCCTATGATTACAGACATGTGCAGGAGCCACCAAAATTAATTACAGCACGCTAGACCACACAGAACCTAAAAGGTACACTTTCAAATTTGATTTTATAAAAAAAAATATATATATATATATATATACAAAAAGCGCCTCTTTGTTTAGGTGTTTATTATAACACAGACAACATATACAGATATTTTAAACACTTTCAATAGTGTTTTATAAAAATTCAAAGAGTTTTCTTTAAAATGACACCAAATTTTTGCATTTACACCTCTGCATGTGGATTTGGGAAGCTTTTAAATTTGGGTAGGCAAAATCCAGGCGGAAATCCTAAAATAACAGCAGAGTTTAACTGGCTAAATTGACCATAGTGTATGTGTGTGAATGTGAGTGTGTATGGGTGTTTCCCTGTACTCGGTTGCAGCTGGAAGGGCATCGACTGTATAAAAACATATGCTGGATAATTTGGTGGTTCATTCCGTTGTGGTGACCGCTGATGAATAAACGGACTAAGCCGAAGGAAACTGAATGAATGAATTCATTAATTAGCAAAGAGTTGTTAATACTATAATATATACAGTATAATAAATACACTGCACTATTGTATAGTTACAAAAACACTGTAGTGTTTACTATAGATTTCTATAGTAAATATGCAATATTGAAGTTCATTCCCCACTATGGATCACCCTTAGGGTGCAGTTGTAGTTTTCTGATTATAGCTTTATAATGCACATGTGATGGGAAAGCAGGAGGAATGATTGAAGTTGTGTGTTCAGCTTAAAGATCTTTAGTTTCACAGATAGGAGCAGAGGAAGCAGATTAGTTAATGACATTAAGGAGTGTGTGTGTGTGTGTGTGTGTGTGTGTGTGTGTGTGTGTGTGTGTGTGTGTGTGTGTGTGTGTGTGTGTATGTGTGTGTGTATAATCCTCACCTTCACAAGTGTCTTCACCAGAGTTGGTCTAAAGGGGACCTTTTATGCAAAAGTCACTTTAATGAGTAGTTTAAACGCAATTGTGAGCTAATAGTCTGTGAATATAGCCAGCATTTAATATAAAATATTATAATTATATTTATATATATTTATATATATTTATATATATTATTATTATATATATTATAATATTATAATTTTATAATCACACTTAATAAAAACAGTAACACTTTGATTGACATCCTTTGTACATGTCATCAGAGGAGGAAAGCCCCGCCCATTAGGGACTATCTCTCCCTCGTTTGCATTGAATGTTAGATTTGTTTTTAAACCTGCCACTATGCTGACACACAGGCATTTGTAGCTCCACCCTCTTTTTAAAAAGAGCACAGTCTCATTTGAATTTAAAGCAACAGTCACCAAAATTGCATAATTTGGATCAAAGCTCTAAGTGTCAGTTTCAAAGAGACATAAAATATTATTTGTGTGTTATTTTGAGCTGAAACTTCACATAACACACTCAAGGGACATCAGAGACTTGCTTTACATCTTGTAAAAAGTGGCACAATAGGACATCTTTAATATACCTTAAGAACACATGAACACATTGGTTTGCGTCCAATTGGTTTATCTGGATCTTGCAATTGCAGATACAAGGAATATTTACAGAAAAACCTAAAACTGAACACAAATCGAGACGTTTCTTTACGTGCTGTATATGTCATGTGAATTACTAGTATACTTTTATGATTTGTCCTTTGCTTTCCTTCTAAAACTTGAAGTCTTCCATTTATTTTTCATTCGTTCATTCATTTTCTTGTCGGCTTAGTCCCCTTATTAATCCGGGGTCGCCACAGCGGAATGAACCGCCAACTTATCCAGCAAGTTTTTACGCAGCGGATGCCCTTCCAGCCGCAACCCATCTCTGGGAAACATCCACACACACACTCATACACTACGGACAATTTAGCCTACCCAATTCACCTGTACCACATGTCTTTGGACTGTGGGGTAAACCAGAGAACCCGGAGGAAACCCACGCGAAGGCAGGGAGAACATGCAAACTCCACACAAAAACACCAACTGAGCCGAGGTTCGAACCAGCGACCCAGCAACCTTCTTGCTGTGAGGCGGCAGCACTACCTACTGCGCCACTGCCTCACCCGATTTATTTTTTACTAGCTTTACAATAGAAAGGATCATACTTTATTTTAATGCACAATTCAGGCTTTTAACAAACTATTAACTAAAACATTTAGTTCAATAAACTACTATTACTATTTGGAAACTACTATTAGTTAGGTAGTTGGTTTTAGGTATTTAATAAGTATTAGGTACACCTGTCCAACTGCTTGTTAATGCAAATTACTAATCAGTCAATCACATGGCAGCAACTCAATGCATTTAGGTATGTAGACATGGTCAAGACAATCTACTGCAGTTCAAAACGAGCATCAGAATGGGGAAGAAAGGTGATTTAAGTGACTTTGGCATGATTGTTGATGCCAGATGGGCTGGTCTGAGTATTTCAGAAACTGCTGATCTACTGGGATTTTCACGCACAACCATCTCTAGGGTTTACAGAGAATGTTCTGAAAAAGAGAAAATATCCACTGAGCAGCAAATGCCTTGTTGATGCCAGAGGTCAGAGGAGAATGGCCAGACTGGTTGCAGCTGATAGAAAGGCAACACACTGCAAAAAAAAAAAAAAAAAAGGCTTTTCTTACTTAGTTTTTTTTTGTCTTGTTTCTAGTCCAAATATCTAAAAACTTTTAAATCAAGAAGCATTTTCTAGACAAGCAAAACATACTGTCTTGTTTAAGGATATAATATGCCAAAATGAAGTGAGTTTTTCCTTAAAACAAGCTAAATAATCTGCCAATGGGGTAGGGGAAATAATCAACCCGGGCTCATTGTGGAAACGTAGTCCCGCGGACGTTTCTGGAGACCGCGGAATAAATCCCGGCGGGTACGTACGGCTGCAGTTTTTGTTTTTGCGAATCCATGAGAGGCCGCTGTTGTGCGCTTTTTCGCGTCTCAGACGCCTCGCGAGTGCGGTTCGCGCCCGCGCTGTTCTTGCGTGAACCCGCCAGAGGCCGCTGTCTGACTGACCGGATGATTGACTGCGCGACCGGCCAATCGGCTGACCCGCCCTCCTCCTTCCCTGAACCTAACCAATCTTACCGATCGACTCGCCCACCCACTCGCTTACCTAAACCCGTGCAACAGTTTACAAAAGCCATCCAAAAAAAGAAAAGGCCTGATTTTTTTTTCTACCGTGTGTTTGGATTTCACCGCGTTCTCACCCTGTTACGAAACTCGTTCACTTAATTTTTGGGATTTTGTTTTTGTCTTACCTGATTGCTGGAACCGCTCTTCCCCCGACTCGAAACCGATCGCCGTGGTCAACTCCTCTCTGAATCTCGAGCCTGCCGATGTACACGATGAGCTGAGTCGACAAACGGGTTGCAGCGGGGAAGCCCTCCACAAGGAGGTAAGCGGTCGGCCGGCCGGCCGGCCGGCCGGCAAGCGCGACAGGGAACGGCGTCACCCCCCCCTCCCCCCCCACCCCCCCAACCGTTCGCTTGAAAAAAAATAAACGCGGCCGAACGTACCTCCCGGGACGTATTCCGCTGTCTCCAGAAACGTCCGCGGGACTACATTTTCAGAATGAGCTTGGGTTGAAAATGATCTTTTGTCAAAAGGAA